TAACATAGCACACATTAGCATTATTCAGACAGATTACACCTCCTAGAGTCACAGTCACATCCAGGAGAGCAAGACACTAGGGCTTTATTTTTTACTTATTTTTGCTTTGTTTGTGGCAGGCGTAGGTAGCCCCAATCAAACCATATAGCTTCTAACATACTCTTAATACACTATATCTCTTAGTACACCTACCTAGTAGACTTTAAAACACAAGGGACTAAGAGAAAGATGCTGATTACTTAGCTATGTTTAGCCACTACTTTCTTCTAGAGTAGGATTCCCCAATTTAAAGTGGCAGAACATGAATATTCACACCGAAGTTGACTCTCTGACCTTAACCTATTTTCTCCAAAGTATTGTAAGCCATGGAATGTAATTAAAAAACTGCACTTAGAATTGTCTCTATTTTAAATCATTTACATATCTAGCCCTCTATTCTATATTGTGTAATCTTTAGAAGCTCTTAAGAATCAAATAATTTTTGCTACTACGGAAACGACATCATATAATCCTCACAGTAAATCTAAATAATACAAGTTTTCACCCTCATTATGTGATTAGAAAGCTCCTAAAGAATGCCACCAATAGACAATTAGCTTTCAAATTTCTACTTTGAATTTAATACACAGATGAAGTATAAGAATTTCTTCGTTTGTGGTAACATCTTCCTTTATTTTAAGTAGTTAATTCCTCTTCCTCCCACCCTGCTTGCATACCCTCAAGGTCTCAACATTAGATATTAAACAAACCCTAGTCATTTTACACTTCACCTCCTTTTTCACGACCATGCCAGTGGAGCAGGACCTCACTGGTCCCAGCTAGAACTCAATTTCTTGAATGTGACTAACCAAAACTGAACATCTTCAGTCTTTTGCAACAGCAGCAACAGTTCCCTGTTTGACTGGAAATACTTGATCTAATATATCTGCAGACTTGATTTTTTTTAACAGCTGTATTGGCAGCTCACAGTCATCCTATGATTTGTGAATGTTCTGAGGTTCTTCTTCAATCTCTTCTAACTGATAAAATCGAAGTTTCTACTTTGGGTTATTGGTCTCAGAGCACCTAATCATTCAATATCCTTGAATTTCATCCCAGTTTTTTACATCACTTCTTTAGCCATCCAGCTCTTCCCTGCTGTGTCCTTTGAATATTCCTAATACATCAAAATTCCATTTTAACCAACGTGAAAATATAACAATAAGCCTGTAGGATGAGACCAATGTCAGTTGTTCCCAGATCACCTCTTCCCCCGCCAGAAAGTTCCTGCTAAGCCAAAGGACAACCATCAGCAGCAGATAAACACCTTCCCTGCTGCTCAGCCTGAGCTTTTTACAAAACAGAACACAAAGTACATTACAAACTCCAGTCAAATCCTATGAGTCATCATCAGTAACAACCTTGACTGCTGCAGAAATCTCCATAATAGTACAACATCTACTCCTCCCTCCTCTCTAGGTAAATTGTAGCACATTTTACAGTTCTGACATAAATCTATGTCTTTAACAAATTCTCATTAGTTATAACTCTTTTTAAGTAAAAATAGACATTTAATATTAAGTTAATCACACCTACTAATAAAAATTTAAGCAATTCTGACAAAATGATGGTGAATTATATTCCTTTCATTAAGCATAAGACAGTATTTCTGAAGCAAACAATTAAGAAATTAGGAAAATGGAGAATGATGAACACAGTGTCACAGGAATGTGGTATCTCACGGACTAGTCAAGGGTTCAATAACTTTTTTCTGCAATACAGGCTAGCCTAAATAATACTGAAATAGATACCATTAACAGGTAGTAGAAAATTTTATTTACTGTCTATCTAGCCATTAGCCCAATTGCCTTTTCCTTTTCACCTCTCCTTTTCAATAACTTTGCTACTCAAGCAACCTTATGTTTTAACGTCAAGTATGGTTCTAAAAATGCTACAAAAATGGTTGCCTAAATGAAACAAAACAAATAAGGGAAAACAAAGACTAAGACATCTCACTACTGACTCTAGGACCTATTATTTCACCTCCAGTACAGTTCCAAATGGTTAAACCTTGACCTTTACAACTTAATGACCATAGTATATAACCAAATTCTTATGTATTTGGGATTGTTTTCATCAAACCAGTCCTTGTTTTTCTTGAAGGAGAACCCTAAGGATTCTTCAGAGGACTGCAGAATGCTATGACTTTGGGACTAACATGTCTGTCCTTGAACAGGCAGCAGTCACAAGCATTGAGGCCATGCTGCTGAGAACACAGCTGCGTTGGGCAGGACACGTCTCCAGGATGCAGGACCATCGCCTCCCTAAGATCGTGCTCTATGGGGAACTTGCCACTGGCTGCCGCAAGAGAGGAGCCCTGAAGAGGAGATACAAGGATTGCCTGAAACAATCCCTCAGCCTTGGCCATGTTGATCACCACCATTGGTCTACCCTGGCCTCCGATCAGGAGGCCTGGAGACACACCATCTATAACGCTGCTGCTGCTTTTGAGAACACACACAGGATCACTCTCGAGGAGAAAAGACAATGCAGAAAAAATCGCTTCTCGTTGATATCACCTGGGGAGTCTTTCTGCTGTGCCTTCTGCAACCAGACTTGTCTATCTTGCATTGGCCTTTTTAGCCATCAGCAAGCTTGTAGCAAGCGTGGGTAGAGCCCCTCTCAAATCTTCGCTTGCGAAGCCTAGCCACGATGATGATATATTTGGGATTTTTTTAGACAAAATTGAATGATTTTATTTTTACAAGAGCCCTGGTAGCAACACCTACATTTTACTTAGTGTTTAAAGAAAAATCCCAAGAAACTCCTGAAAATATTTCAGCATTTAAACAAGCTCCTTGTTTTCATCACCCATAGAAGCATTAAATGATTTCTGGGAAACTGTTCTTGCACCTCAACCCTTTTCCCTATTTTACAACCACCACTTGAGCTAGTATGGTTTCTAGATCACATAACGAGGAACATTTTTTTTTTTTAACAGGATTGGTATGGAATGCACTCCCACAAAACAAAAACCTTTGTGGGTTGTTTAAGAATACACGTGAGAAAAATGGAAATTTGAACAGATTCATGTAAAGTCACAGCGGAGTAATGCAGAAGCAAATGTTAAAACATTAACAGTGACTCATTCTGGATTTAATTAGTGTCAATGGGCTCAGTGCACTGTGCAGGTTACACTCACATCAACGTGCACAGGGATGATAAACACCAAATTCTCATGTTTGCTGATGAAGACATCTTTCTGTATCCTTGGAGGAAGAAAAACAGGGATGAAAACAAAAGAAAAGTACTGCAAAAATGAAACAAAAATTACAGGCGTCGATTACTATGAAGAAAACTTTTTTTTTTAAATCTACTATTTTCTGGGAAGATGTTACTGCTTATCTTTGACTGCAAATGCTCTCTGTTGCAAAAACCCTGAACCATTCAAATGCTTCATCTGATGAGGGCAGAGACTGACACAATTAAGTGCCATATCAAGGTATTTTTGAAGGAATGTTTTTTAAAACTTTTTTAAAGAAATGATGCACCAAAATGCAGCAAGGGCACATGAACAGAATTATAGTGCTTTTCTTCGTGCCTTAATACATAAAAGTCCTTTCATTCTATTTCTTTTTACCATAACAAAACACTTTTCCACTTTTATGTGAAAAAAAGTATGCTTGATTTTTCCCAAAAATTTAATGCTGGATGGATACCATTGTCAGGGAAATATGATAGCTGTATGGAGCTTACCTAAACAAAGCTAGCTCTATACTCACAACAGTGTTCCTTTTGGTATTCCATTTGTGTATATATATATAGCTTTTGAGCAGAGAGGCTCAGATCATCTGAAGCAAAATTACTATGTTGCCAGCTTTCACAGCACTTGGAACATTTTTTATCACCTCCCGACCTCTGAAGACACATTGCTATCTAATAATTAAATTTCACCTCCAGGTGACAGTGAAAATCGAAGCTGTATCCCCAGTATATCTGAAAACAGAAGAAAGGTGCAACAAAAGGAAGTTCTTCTAAGATGCGATTTTTAAAACAATTTTGTTCTAGTTTTGGCTTATGCTTTTTAATGTTTGAAGCACCGATTACGGGAGTTAAGAGTTGTAATGAACGACAGTTCAGAGATTATATGCTGGTAGCATTCCCCTTCCTTTATTTCTTTCCTTACAAAGCCGTGATTAGGACAGTCATGGTCTACGCTGTTGATCTGGCCACCTGTCCACGTGCCTCCTCACCTACCTTCCTCTCCCACTCCCCACCACCTCCAGCCTCTCTCCACACCTGTTCACGGCTGACAGGATGGCGAGCAACCCTCCACTTGCCTCTCCAACACAACCCCACCGGTGCCCCGAGCACCCCAGGCCAGGCAGAGGTTGCAGCTGCTGCAGAGATGCTCTTGGCTCTGCCACCGTACCCCTACGGCCGCAGGGACTCTTCACCCGCCACACTCGCTTGAAAAATAAAAGCCGGGGGGAGAAGGGCAACGCCACGGCGTCGCCAAAATGTGTGTCACCCTGCCATTTTACGGTTTTCCCATAGTGGATGTTCACAGGTGGCGAGGACGCTGCTGGGTAGGTTTCTTTACCGCTGCCTCACTGCTGCCCCAGCGCCACCAGCGATGCCCACCTGAGTTCGCACTGCCTGAAAGATGGTGCAACACCGGCCGTATGCTGAAACACGGACCGGGCACAGCCTGGGGAAAGGGGGACACCGAGACAGTTCCGGCGCTCCTCCGGGCACGCCGGGAGCGGGGCCAGGGCCAGGAACAGGCAGAGGTCACCGGATAGCAAAGGGCGCGGGGGAGGAGCCCGTGGGGCGAGGGGGCGGCGAGGGGGCGGCGAGGGGGCGGCGAGGGGGCGGCGAGGGGGCGGCGAGGGGGCGGCGAGGGGGCGGCGAGGGGGCGGCGAGGGGGCGGCGGCGTCCGGCGCGGCCCGTCCTCCCCCTGGCGGCTGCCGCTCCCCGCCGAGCCGGCACCCCGTCCCCTGCCCCGCGCCCGACGGTACCTGCGCGGCGTGTGCGGCCGCGGGCGGCTCCCCGGTCCAGAGCGGCTCCCTGAGGAGGTGCTGGTGGCTCAGGCAGTGCTTCAGCGCCGACGGCACCGTGCCCATGGCGAGCGCGAGCGCGCCCGCCGCAGCCGCAGGGCCGGCGCAGCCTCCCGGCCCGCGCGCGAGCGGCGCCGCGATTGGCGGAGCGCGGGCGCCGCCGCGTCCCCTCCCGCCCGGCTGCGGCGGCCGCCGCCTCCAGCGCCTCGGCCCCTCACGGCGGCGGCCACCCTTCCTCGCCTCCCCGAGCGCCCGGCGCTGGGTGCCCGCGGTCGGGGCGGGCTCGGCCGGCGCCGCAGCAGCCTGCAATGGCGGGGCGGGAGCGCGGGAGAAACCCCTGAGGGGAGACGCTGCTCGGGACCTGGCGGGCACGAGCGCTTGGACAGGCGGCCGTCCTGCCCCCCTGTCCCCTGACACGGCCTCGGGACACGGGGCCCAGATCCAGCTGGCAGGGCTGTGGGCAGAAGGGGGGAAAGAGAGGAGGAAGGAGAAGGGTCGGGGCTGCTTACACACCAAGCCCGCGTGCCCTTTTCCCCATCCCGGGGCCGAACACGGCCCTGCTCGCTCGGCCGTCCGCCTGACACGAGGCTCCATGCGCACACTTGCATTTCTGCTTTCCACTTGGATAGCAGAAACTCAACAGCATAGCAAGTGGAATACAGGTTTCAACAACTCTCTTCGCAGCAGCAGGTTGTATTTTGTTAGCTCCTTCAGCATTCAGTGTGTCAGCCAACTTTCCAAACTCCTCTCAAGCGAAATACCAAATGCGTTGGAAATTGTTTCTGGATCATTTCTTTTCTGGGGTATCAGGGATTTTTTTCCTAAATTGACTAACCTTTCTCTCAGTAATTTTCTGCAAAAGATTATTAGGTTTACTGCCAAGTCTCTGTTTCAGTCGTCCACAGATAGGCGTGATGCTCCTAAAGCTGCTTATTTTTCTTTTGCTGTTTTGCATTTCATGCTTGCTGTTCTGTGCATCCAGAAACGATGTTTCCATGGCCACTGTAAACCGAAACTGGATGCTGATTGATTGGCTGGGAAATTTTTGTTTTTCGAGGATAATGATGGCTCTTCAGAAAGAAAATATTTCAAATATAATATAAAAATTCAATTTAAAATATTGCCAGTGGACATCTCTGCAATTTCAAATCTGTGCCAGGGGGGTTTTCTACTGGCTGCAATATGATGCCGTTAATATCTTTTCTTCCTTCTTCCAGTAAAATGTGTGTGAATTCAACATTCTTATATTTTTGCAGTTCAAAAATCCACTAAGTTTCCATTAAATGCTGACTCTGGGTACTTACTTTGGTCTTGTTACCCATAAAGTTAGGGATAAAATGTAGAAAAGCTGGCCAGAAATTCAAACTCTTTTGTTTCCCAGGGAGAGACAGTTTATCAATAATGTGGTATACATGAAGGAAAAACTTTATTGAGATTTTAAAAAATCATTTTTCTTTTCCACTTTTCTGTACATTTCATAGTGAGTTGGAAAAAGGATAAAAACTGCAGTTGTGAGGAAGTTAGAGAATATGAATGGTTACCTTGCCTGCCTACGTACCTGACCTGTTCACAAGTTACTCAAGTACCAAAGTCAAATTTCATATGGCCTTTAATCATGTTTCTTACAAATATCTCTGAAATCAGCTGCATTGTAAACCTCTGCAGGTAGCTGAGACATCAAACTGCTATCTTTTCCCTGTTAAATCCCTTCTAATATTATCTCTTCTGTGTCTGTCACTGTTTCTATGAACATAATAATAAAACATACTGGCAGATTGAATGCCATTTTTGTAGGGCTTAAAGCTTCAGTAGGCTCTTCCCACTTACACCCACTGTGAATATTTTCTGACATAAATCCACTTTAAGACTCAGAGTGCCAACAAATACGCCGAAAAGGAGCGTCTTTATCTGAAATCATGGTAGTGTTGGGCAGAGAATGAAAATATAACAGGTATGTTCTAAAGTAATTCCAAATAAACTGAGTTCTCATGCAACAGTTTCTCACTGTTTCTTTTCTGTTGACCTCCCATTCTCCCTGCAATCAGCATTTGTTCTTCACCCTTGCCAATTTGGCACTGAATTTTTCAACTAGTCCTTCTAAATCCATGCAAGGAGTTGTTTTAAAATGAAGAGATGTATAAATAAAACACATTCATCTGAAACTGGCATGTTTCTCGGGAGAAGAAGAGTTGTGATGATTATTGAAAAAAGCCCTGTATGTTAAAAGCTTTAGAGCTAAAACGAATTGTTACTGTTAAACACAAGGCACATAGGTCAGTAGGGTGTGAAAGAATCCCCAAGAAGATAGGATGTTCCACACGCACAGTCATCCTGATACTGTTCTTTGCTTTACTCCACCCCACTTTGTGAGTTAACATGAAGGCAAATACAATACAATATGATGTTTAACTTTGTCTACCTTCAGGGATAATACCAGTATATTTACTAATTGAAGAGTTTGCAAAATCGTGTAAAGAATAATGGACATTGTGGCAGGTCTTTCTGTAGCAGCACATGGGCCTCTCATAGTCTGGACATGCCCTGTGCTGTTCCTTATTTTGATTCTGCATATCTTTTGTTCAACAATGGCATTTTGGAACAACTTCAGTTTACTAGAACACATGGAAGAACTCAGATGTGTTTAGTGCTATATCAGGATAGTGAGTAGAAATTGCACATTTTGGCTTTTGGCTTTCCATCTGTCTCTTAAAACTATTTGTCATTCTGGTACTCCTCTGAATTTATCATTGTCGTTGGCTCACACTGTGTTCTGGTCAAAGGTTTTAAAACGTTTATTAAAGGGAATGCTTTTCACTCAAATAAATAATCTCTCATAAAAGTCATGCCACCAAGCCAACCAGATGGAAAGAACAGGCAAATTTGTGTAATATACAGAATAACTTCAAATACTACCACGAGAGATGTTTCTGTACTCCTTATTGTTCCCATGCAGTTACACCGGTAGTTGGCAGTCAGATCATTAGGAGTGGAAACATAAAGCTGTTGGATTTCCTGCAGTATGACAGAAAACCTTGGCCAAGAAAGGCATGGTAAAAATAGGTTGATCGTTTATAAGCATCTAAAAGAAAATAAGAAAGTTGTTTAAAGAGTGATTTGATGACAGCAAGAAGGACAGAATCAGAAGCAAGGGAGCTATTCATACTGCTGATAATCATAAGTGCCAAACTGGCAAGTAGCCAAGGTGCCTACTGGGCAGGGATCAAAGACACATATGGTGAGTCTCAAACAACAAATAAGCCATAGAATTCTGGCAAGCATTGAAGGAATAATATGCTCCAGCCCTGACAAAGAAGATGAGGGCTAAAGAAAAAACAATGGGCTACCAATACTGGATCATACCTCAGGGAAAGCAAAGCTTTCATCATTTCAGTTTTATTGGAGAAAAATGCAGATAACTTCTCACATATGGTAGGTCTGGTTGATCTAAATTGATGGGAAGTGTAACACAATGTTAAAAAATATCCTTTACAGTTGTGGCAGTAAATCAGTGTTCCATTAGCTGTGGCATCATTCAGAGACGGCATTCTTCAGAGAGTTAGTAATGGATTTACTTTGCCAAAGTAAGACTATATCCCAGGTGATAGACACCTGGCATTTGAAACAGACACAATCAAGAAGAAAGTCCAAGTTACATCTTGCCAGATGTTGTATCCTATTCTATATTTTTTTCTGTTCTTTAACTAATTCAGTCAGATGGCAGGTTTTTTTGCCAACTAGATCACAATGTGAAACAAATAAACAAACAAAAAAAAAAGGAAACATTTTATTCTCTTGCTACAAGACAGCGTTCAATATGAAAAGAAGGAAATCCTGTGATTGTAGATCTGGCCTCATAATCACAACAGTTATACGTACATACACAGAGTCATAAAAGAAAGGGGCATATTGGTTGCTGTCTTATTTTACATTTATAAAGGGCAATGACTTTTACACTGGTAAGAATGGTACTCAGCAGCCCTTTGGGTCTTTGGGTGGTCTCCAAAGTACCAGCACTACATAGCTCCATGTTACTGTTATGAGGCATATCAAGGACAGCAGAGAATCGCAGCAGAAAGTCCTTATTTATGGATAACATTTTCCATTTCAGTTGTTTCCATAACTGACAGAAATGCTGATGAACCAAATGTGTCCCTTGTCTGACTCCATCATTTAGACTGTAATTTCTTTGTCTCAGTGACCTGAACTACCACTCAGCAGTATCAGGAGAAACTATGAGCCAATTCCTGAATGGATTTTCAAGGTGCTATTATAATATTTAAGAAAATATTTCCTTTTCAGAGCAAGTATTTTGCCTACTGTTACACAGACTTCATTTCCATCTCCTTTTTCCACATAAGTGCAGTTAGTATCTCCATCTCCACCCAGTCTTCTCTGCCAATAAATACTAATGTGATTTCTTTTATGGATTATAAGGTGCAATATGCAGTAACCTCTGATTTCCTTCCTCTCTTTATGTTGTTAAGAGCGAACAAAATAGGATTGATTGTCAGTGAGGCCAGTTTTCTTGCTTTTCCAACAAGTGACCCCTTCACATCCTGTAGGATAAAGAGAAACTATGAGTTACCCTTAGGAAATACTGAATAAAGAGATGCTGTATGGTTTTTTGCTATATCCGTTTCTTTCCAAGTAGGGAGTTTAGTCAAAACAGGGCAAAATAACCACCTGGAAAATGTACCTGCACGGCATTCTGGGAATAGTGCTTTCCAAACAGGAAAAAAGAGTTAAAGACCTGCACCTTTTCTGTTCTCTTAGGGAGCAATTCTTCTGATTTATTTTAAATATATATTTTAGTATCAAATGAACCATATTCTATCAACCATATGCAATTTCTTTGTTTCAAACTTTTCCAGCAAGTGAAAATGGATTAGGCATTATCCAATAAAGCATAAATATATGTAGACAATATAAATCCCAAAGTTAAATTTATCTGTTCCTTTCTTGTTTTATTCTTCTAGTTTCTAAGTTAACGTGCAAAACTTATTTTGTGGTTGTACCATGATAAGTGTTTGAATTTTTTTTAGGCATTTGCCATATAACTGTCCTTTTAAAATTATTTGGCGTACTCAGTTGCTATGGCCTTGA